TTCAGCTTCAGTTTCATTCCGTTTTTGTGTCAACGCCAAGGCGTCCTGTGCGTCCTGTGAAGCGCATAGCGAAAAATATTAAACATTTTCTTTGATTGATTTGCTTTATCCAGACAGCAGGAGGGCCATGCCCCAACGCCCACACTCACACACACACACACGCGCGCCTTACACACTCTTTTTTTTCTCTGTTGCTTATTTTTTTTTGCATATTTTTTTTCCGTTTAATATTTACTTTTTGATTTGTGATTGCCAAGAACATATGCTGGGGGCAGCGATATATATCGGAAATGGCATGGGCGTGGCACACTTGTCACAAGCGGGGCGTGGCAATTGGTTTGTACAATATAAATTGGTGCCACTCGCCACCCCGCTGCTTGCACAGTCAAACTGCTGCTGCTCTTTATCCTCTTGCTGCTCTGCTCCTTCTCTCAAGTGTTTTCGTTTTTCTTTTCTTCCCATGGCGAAAGTGACGCTTTAATGATTGACAGACGCCGGACAGCAGCGAGAAAAGGCGTGACTGAATATTAAAACTAATTTAATTAATTTCGCTAATGAATCTGTCTTTTGGAGAGACGAAATACAGTGAGGGAAAGCGGTTCTAACCGATACAGAGAGCTAGAAAAAAACAAAAAAAAATGCTACTTTAACCCACAACCGAATACTGAATACCGAAGGTCGAAGCATGAAGCACGGCAAGGGGTAGAACAGCGAACAAAAAAAAAACGTGTACGGATATGCCCAAAAATGTAGGCAACACTTTCCTTCACCTCGCGCACACACGCACACAAAGGGCCACGAAATGAAAAGCGCACAAAAAAAAAAAAAAAAGACAAAGCGAAAAACTGTAACGGCAAAACCTGGTAAAGCTCAACGAAATTCATCGAAATCGCAGTTACACACACACACACACACACGCACCTGATGGGTGGAGGGGGGTGGTGGTAGGTGCCGCTGTGGTTTTTCCATTGACAAAACAAAAGGCCAAAAGATTGAACAGCAGACAGCGCGCGTGAAAAAAGCGAATGAAATGAACGAGATGGCCCTTATAACAGAAACGAGTGCAAGCGGAACGGAAAACAACACAAACGAGTAGAACAAAAACGAAAACAGGAGCGCGCCACAAATTCTACAGACAAATGGGTTACCCTGTCAGGACTTTAACTATGATTATTATTATTTAAGAATCTTGAAAGTTTCTCTTTTCCATATGAAATTATTTGTGACAGCCAATTGCAATGCTTTTTGGCATACGTGGAGATTCGCAATTACATTATTTTTAATTCTCTAAAGTTTAACGCTTAGATCTTTATAACTGTGAAGTGTTTCTATGTATTAATAAATATTTGATGGCCTCTTAGATATCCCCAGGTAGCGTATGTATCTCTTCGTGCTTCAACAATTACCATAAATCCTTTTGTACTGTTTCAAGTACAGGATATAACGTGGAAAAAAAGCGACTGCCTCACACGCTAAATTGCATTTTCAATTGCTGTGGGGGTTGAGGAAGCTACGACAGCAGGGTATGGGGCCATAGGCTGCAGGGGATTGCAGGTGCATGGCGGTGTATGGTCTTTTTCCGACCACAGAGAGCCTACTGGCTCTCTGACAATTTACTTGTAAAACCAACCGCAACAATTTCAATTGCAGCCTGCCCCCAAAAGGCAGTAGCAGCAGCTGAAACAGGCGGAGAGGTAACAGCAGAGGGTGACCTCTAACCCCCCACCCCGAGGACAAAGAACAGTGGGCCACTGTGGCCCATCTCATGGCCGACTGTCGTCCTTTCTCTGTGGCTCTGCGGTCATTGCCGCGCTGCCTCTGCCCTCTGGCCATTCGAGACATTCAATTCGTAAATGCAAATCGATGCGCACTTTCCCTTCTCTCTCACAATTACACACTAATGAACTGCCATGCAGTGCATCTAGCCAGCCATCCATTCATTCATACATTTTATCCATTCTCATTCATTCATTCATTCATTCATTGATCTTGCTTCAATCGCATTCTGTGGCACAGGAGAAGCCTTGGACTTGCGGTCATTGTCGCCTTCCGAGAACACCGCCGCAATTGAAATGTCCCGATTTGTGAATGCAATCGATGAAACTGCCCCTCGCATATTCTGGCAGGCAGTGCCATTAATTCAATCTGAATATCTGTAAAAGTTGCCACGCTTTTGGGGCGCCTACAAATGTAACTGGTGATTCAAGCTCGTGAAAAAATACATACGAAAGACAAATATGAGGATGAGTAACGAAACATTGCGAAACTCACACGATAAAACTCGATAATATATCGGCATTCGTACTAAAAACAAATAAATAAATAATCGATAAATAATCGATAACATAATTAATTCTTATCAATAATCAAACAAAATTGAGCGAATATTCATTTTTCCAGTAATCGATAACTTATCGATAATCGGTTATTCGTATTCGATTAAAAATCAATTAAATACCGACACACCCAGATACTATTTGATTAAAAATTGCTTTTGTGTGCCTCAAAGCGTTGTAAAATTATTAAATTGCATGGAAAATGAATTGCTGCAAGCAAGCCCCGAAAATTCAGTCGGTGGCACTCATGTACCCACCCATGTACTGCCGTAATTCATGGAACAACTTGCAACATCTCTGAGTAATTAGACATCTACAAGAGGCGCCAAAAGGGGGCAGGCAGGAGCAGCCAGGGGCAGGACCGGGCAGGCGCGTAATAAATGGCAAACTCCCAGGGCTCTTGGGACCGTGATTAATTATCCGAACTTTTAGCAGCAGCTCATCAGCAGGCAGCATCGATGACCGGCTAAAGGACAACGGGGAGAGACCATAAAGCAGGACACCACATCCTACTTATCACGTAACCCAAAACTCCTGCTGTCCGTGCAGCCAGGTAATATATGGCCCAAAGACATGGCCACCAAACACTTGGCTTGGCGTTCAAAGACATGATGCCCCCCAAAAGACGTGATGTCGGCATAAAATGTTTGATTCTTGCTTTGATTCTTTGGTGTGGGAGAGGGCAGAGGGGAGATGAGACACCGCCTTTGATGAAGTGGCACCAAAAGTTCCATGGGAACGCTCAGGACTCTGCCATAGAGGATATTTAACTATTTATTGATCAAAATGAAAGAAAATAATTAGGAAAAAAATTATCTATGTATATATTTTAAATATAGAAATATTTATAATAATAATTTTAGATGCATCATTCGATTCGATTTTCAAAAATGTGAGTAAGCTTGTGCAGTTTTTATACATTGCATTGTACATGCATAATCTACATTTTAAATGTGTAATCGACATTGTTGATGTAGATGTATCAAAAAATGTAAAATGTGAAATATTCTAAAATATTCTACATAAATCATAAGCTCAAAAATGTATATACTGATTGAGTAAGGCTATAAAAGTCGAGTCGCGTCCACAGAAGCGACTCCCACGTTCCTTCTCGTTTTTTTTATTTTTTGTGTGGAAGAGTTGGCATTTCAGAGCTCCAATCGATCTCAAGGATAGGTCCGAAAAGAAGGCCCAAAGAAGATGCCCAGAGTGCAATTTTTAGGTGCCTCAACGAAATGATTTTCCTTTGCCCGAAAATCCCAATGAATGACCCAAACATGCCAACTGTTCTGGGTTGGGTTGGACTGGGTTGGGCTGGGTTGGGCTGGGCCTAGTTTTCGGCCATGCAACAAAGTTTTCGGGGGGTGGGGTGGTGCCACGGGTATAATTGTGGGTCTGGTGATCCTGGCACTCCATCGCGTATTTAATTGGCGTTTGTTGGCGTGAGACTCGGTAATTAGACGGACGCGCGTCCATAACTTGCGCTTGACAGAGAGCACACCCCGGACCCCCCTCCCCCTTCTCCGACACTTTTGCGGAGCCAGAGACGGCCTGACGGGGGAGCGTAAACTCGAGCTTCGACTCATTCATTCATTCACTTTGTCAAACTGAAATTAAAACGGGAAGCGAGAGGCCGAAACTTTATTTTTGGAATTTGGTAGTGGCGGAGGGGAAATGGGGCCATGGGGGCATGTTGCCCAGGGCTTAGACTAGGACTTGGCCCTAAAGGACGACAACAGGACGACGCCGGGACGGCACTCACCTAATAAGCCAGCAAAGCGTAAAAATTTTGAAAGTTTTATGGCCGCGCGCGGGCGACACTTGAGAAAAACTTGTTCTAAAAAGTGAAGCGGGTAACGGAGGAATGCAGTGGGTGTGAAGTGGGGTAGGGGGGGACTTTATTGGACTCCATCGGACGTCACTCATACGCAGATGGATGGAAAGGGGAGGCAGGGAAGTTTTTTGCCCGCCGCTTTGTGTTTTCTTATTGTTTGCCGCGATGCTCTCTGCCCAGTGAGAGAGAGAGAGAGTTGAAAGTTCAGAGCTTAATTTGCTAATTGTTTAACAGCTGCCACAACAACTGCAACAACAACTGCAACAGCAACAGCAGCTGCAACTGCATCTCCAGCTGCATTTTCATAATGAAAAGCGGGCAGAGGCAGCCGGAAAAGCGTCACAGAGAGAAGGAGAGAGAGGGATAGAGGGTGAGTGAGTGAGGGGGGCATCATGCAGGGAGAGGCGGTAGAAGCTTACAACTTTTCACTCGAACTCCCGGAGTGCAAAGCTAAAATCCAAACCAAAAACGACAGAGCGACAGCTGCCGTCAGCAACTAGAAGAGTGGGTGGGGAGGCTGCTGCTGCTCCTGCTGCATGCCGCATGCCGCATGTTGCAGCTGCCACTGCACGAAGGGTAGCAGCCCACTCACCGCCCTGTCAAGCGTAACGCCTTTTGACAAGTTTACCCCTGCACTGCAGAAAGTTTTACTTTTGCTTTTATTTTCGGCCAAGTACTTAAAAATTATTATACACAAAACTTGACAGCGGACTGCCACGCCCACGCCCACGCCCACACCCACACCCACACCCAGTTGCGCCCCACACACACACAGAAGTCTCTCTCTCTCTCCATAAACTATATTTATGGTATACTGGCCCCGTACTTACCGTTCGATTTCCCAAATTCTTGACACGGCAGGTCATCTTAACGGTCTTGCCAACGAGTCCTGTAATATTGCTGATCGCACTGGGATCAAAGGTGGGTCCACCGGTGCCTGGTGTCGGCAAATCCTGCAAAAAGTCTGTAAAGAAACGCTTCGAGGCGCTGTCCGTGGAGCCTGCAAAATAAGAGACACCACAAAAGGTTAAATATTTCACTGAAAAATTGCCGGAAATTACAGATTTTAGAGATATTTTTTTTTTATTTATGTTTTGCTACTGAAGATCTACTGGAGAAGTGTTTGCATTTTGCATGGCTAAGTTTGATAGCATTTAGGGAATTATTTCTGTAATTACATTTTGGATAAACAGAGAGATTCCCAGGTGGCTTTATGCAGTGCAAATCGAAAGCTAACAAGTAGAAAATTCTCTCTGCTTTGCTGGCGCTGCTTTAAATCGCATTCGTAATAAATTCATAAACGACCATTCCACGACCTACTTGTGTTCTGCTGTCGAATTATCGAAAAGGTTCCATAACTTCCATTATTGTGCATGGCGGATCGATGCGTAATGACGTTTCCACTGACATTTTTGATGGGAAAATTACTGCCCCACTTGCTACACCTTTCCATTGATGGCAGCTGCAGGCGGCAGGCGGCAGGCATTGTGTGTGTGTGTGTGTGTGTGTGTGGCCGGAAAATTAGTTGAAAATTGTTCTGTTGTACCCATTATTTCCACCTCATTTTCTTTTGTTTTTTGTTTTAGTTCTTTGTGGCTTCTCGGAGGCATGTTCATTTATTTATGTTGCTGCTGCCGCTGCTGTTGCTGTCTCGTGTATCAAGTAATAATTTTAAAATTAGTACAGACCCCCCCCTCTGGAAAAATGCACTTAACAAATGCCTGGAGAGTGGAGGGGGTGGTGCGCTGCCATTTGTTGACAGCGTCATGTGGCGTTAATTGCCACTTTACAACGAGTGGCAATTTGGAGCCGATCGACCCACACACTCACACACACTCACCATCTCGCTGCCACATGAAAGGAGCCTCCTGCCACCACTCAATAAATATGTGGCACAGCTGTTGCTCCCACACAACCACTGCAATGGGCTGTGCCTCAACTCTGTGTGTGTGTGTGTGTGTGTGTGTGTGTGTGTGGCATGCAACCAACAGAAAAGAAAACGAGAAAAACACGATAGGGAGCAGAAGAGCAAACAAGAGCAAAAGAGGCGCAAAATTACTTAATGAAAATTGCCCCGAAAGGCAATTAATTAAATGATAAACGCCCCATATTATATGCCCCAGATTGCTGCTTGTTTTGCTGTAAGCTGTTTATGCAACACTGTGGTGGGGCCGTGGGGCCGTCGAGCAAGCAGCAGTTCAAGGACTTGCCAGTTACAATGACTGGCCAAAGGACGCTGTAAGATTTGAAGACGACGACGATGACTCTGCCTTGGCTGGCCTGAGGCTGCCAGATAAAATGCTGCCCGGCTCACAGAGCAGAGCCTAACGGCCCATCCCAACAAAATGTATACAAACAGGGCACTTCGGCAGCAGCAGCAACGTGCAAGGGTCCCAACTGCAGCATACCCTTTAAAGATTTACATGGTGTCTTACTCAACTACGTGAGTAAGTTCAAGAGATATACCCGTGCCTGTGGCCGCACAAAGCATAAATTGTTTTTGCCCGGCCAATGCCCTGCATTAGCACAAGTCGAATATACCCCACAAGTACACACATCACTCGGTAGTGCGTGGCTGCGATCACTCAAGCGCTCTCTTCTGCTGTCCCCCCCCCCCCCACACGCAAAAGCACAACTCGAGCAGCGCCTTAGCTAGAACGAGAGAGGCATAGCAATGTCTTCTACTCGTATCAGCCGAAGATCAGCGGCCGCACTGCAGTGCTTTTGCTCTCTCGCCCAACTCTTACTCTCTTGGGCTTTCGCTTGCACGAGTGCGTGCGCTGGGAGAGCCGATGACTTCACACTCCTCTCTCTCTCTCGCCCACGCATGTTTTGACTGCTAATCCACAGCTGGGAGATGCGCGCAAAGCGAATGAGTGAAACTGTTTAAGCTTCCACACACTTTAAATTTTTATTTATAAACTTCAATCAAGAATGCATGTCTTTCTTTGATTTTTGACAACATGTAGTGTAGTGTAGTGCAGTGCAGTGCAGTGTAGTGCAGTGTAGTGCAGTGTAGTGTAGAAGTGTCATTTGTATGTGTAGCTGTTGTGATTGCATTTTAAGCAATAATTCTAGTGTTTTTTTGTCCCTTGTGTTTATGCTCTCTCCCCTTTGTAGGTGAGTGTAAATGTGCTGCTGCTTAAAAGTGGTTTGTCTGGTTGGCCAATGCGTGCTCCAGTTCTTCACGAATGACGCGACCAAACTCAGCGGTAAAGTGCTCAACTCTGACCAAATCCGTTTCCATCTTCATCATGGCTGCATGCAAGTTCTTTATATCGTCGTCGCTGCGCTGTATTATCGAGTATATTTCACGACACTCAGCCTTGAATGCAGCTTTTTTGTTTGCTTCGTTTTTGTCTTCATTTTTGTCTGCTTCGTTTTTGTCTTCATTTTTGTCTGCCTCATTTTTGTCTTCATTTTTGTTTAATTCATTTTTGTCTTCTTCGTTGTTTTGGTTGTTTTGTTCGCGCTGGTTGGGGCAGCTTTCATCTTCATCTTTCACTTTGCCGCAAACTTCACATATAATTGGTGGGCTCTCCATTTTATTGGATTTGTTGGCAGACAAAAAAAATAAATAAATAAAAAAAATATATACGTTTTCCGCTTTAGCTGATTTTACAATAATTTTCCAGATGCTTTCTAAACAATGGCACTTTACTTAATGCTTGCTTTGGTTGCAATGATTTTTCATGTGTATTTGTGAGATGTTCCAAAGGTAATCTGATGATCTGAATTCCCGTTTTCAAATGTATCTCAAAATATTTGCTCTTGTTTTCTAGAAAGAAAGATTTTTTCGCATTCCAAAGATTCTCCCCAGTTGCTGTTTGAAGGAAAAGCGCAATGAAAACGTAAAAATAGGGAAAATTTTAAATGGTTGAAGTGGTGAGCAAAACGGAAGCGGAGAAGGAAAGGGTGTCACGAAACGGCACAGGAGATTAGTTCCTAGCTTTCAGCTGTCACACTCACAGGTGTATGTCCTGCAGACAAACCGTAGAGAGACAGGGAGACAGAGAGAGAGAGAGGAGGAGAATGAAAAGCAAACAAAGCGTGTAAAGCGCGCAAGCAAAAGGCGAAAAGGAAATGAAAATGGTCGCGCCGAAAATGGCGAACGACATTTTGTGAAAGTGTTAAGTGCCGCCCATTTGATGATGTCTGCCCCTCCCGTTTGTGGCACCACTGCCGTTGCATATGTTGCTTTGGCCCCCACCGCCCCACCGCCCCACCGCCCCACCGCTCCACCGCTCCACTGAAAGTGGTGTGCACCTGTAACCGTCCCCCCACCTAGTGGACAATTTTCTGCTATTTTTTTTTTTTTGTGTGTCACTTCTGTGTGCGCCTCTCAGTCCCACGATTACAATGACGATTATGCTGATGAGAAAGTGGCGGTGGGGGGATTACTGGAACGAGGGGAATGAGTGTGGTGGGGGGAGTGAAAAGCCAATTAAAGGCATAAACCGTGTGGCAGTTCTTTCGTCGGGCGGTGGGGTGGGGGTTTACACTCCACTCTGATCCCTGGTCGCTGCGCTTCGACTGCTTGTCGTCGTTTGATTTATGGCCGCCATTCACATGCACCAGCAGCAGCAGCCAGCCAACACCACACCACACCAACACCACACAAGCCCACGCTGAAGCACCCGCCCCTCCACAAGCCTCGTTGAGGCCAATCCCACCCTGAGAAGTGCCCTGTGCCGAGGTGCTCCTACTTTTAGTATCTCGCTTTTGGGTTTACAACTTTCGCCAGCAACGAATTATGTTATGCAAACACACACACACACACACACACACACACACCACACACACACACACACACACACACACACACACACACGTAGAGAGCAGTCACACGGATGGATACAGTTATGAGCCACACACAAGCACACACACATATGTGGCTGTGTGCCGCTTATCCGCTGGCTTCTCTGCTATTTGCTCAGCATTTTATGCACTCGATGCGGCGCCTCCTGTCTCCCGTCGCCGCCACAATCTTCAGCTCAATCGCCCACTGCCTTCACTGTCCACCCTGCCTCATGCCCCGTGCCACATGCCCGGCTGCCATCTCCCCGCCATCGTAATTGAAGTTCATAATTTTTTTATTAAACACACACACCCACACACACAGACATTTCGCAGAGTCCTCGACATGTCCTTTGTCTTGTGTGCATTTTTATGCTGTTTTTTTTTATGCCACCAGGAGACCGTCCCCTGCCCCTGCCCACCCGCTGCGTGCGTGATAATGTTTTTCGGAGCATGCCACACACATTCCAGCAGGCAGCCCAGAGCACACCCCAGCAGAGCTCTCAGCCATCGTTAAGTTGTCAATTGCCAGGCTAACAGGCGGCATTGAGCAGGAGACGACCCCCGCCTTTGATGGAGAAGAACTTGATTTGGAAGCCTGTTTTTTCTTGCGAAGAATGAGTCCTTACTGGTCCTTACAACTTCGAATGTGAATAGATATACACATATGACAACGAATTGTAGGGGCAATGTATGAGGAGCAATCATTGAAAAATGAATGAAGGAAACTGTAATAATGAGAGGGAAGATCTTTTAGCAGGATCTAAATAATAAAAATTGTCCCTGTAAGTAGAATTAATTTTAAATAAAATAAACACCAACAAGCACTCAAGTACACTTGGACAGGAACTCTAGGAAAATAATATATAATAAATAAATAAATAAATAATAAATATATAAAATAAATAATAAATAAATAAATATAATAATAATACAAAATAATATTTTTATCTGCTTAAATTATGATAATTTATGCTTCTAATTTCTAAATATTTGCCATCCATTTCAATATAAATATCAACACATTAATGCGCATTTCATCACAGTTAGTTTAAGCTTGTTTAATCAGAAAATTTGGAATGTTATGGAACCTATTTTGTGATATGTATCATGAACGCTCTTCCCATACGCTTAATGGCTACCTGTTTGCCATATTTCATTTAAATATATTTTAAAAATGACTTGTCGCTACGCAAAACGATA